AGACATTACAGAGAAAAATAAGGAGGAGAATAGATGGAGATATCAAGGCAGCAAGCTCTTCAACATCCTCCATTCTTTTCCAAATTGATATAGGACAACACAAGGTGGGTGCTACTTATATTATGGTGTACTGTAGGTGGTACAAATTTTAGTAATCAGAAGAACTTTAGAGAAAAGAAGAAAAACTGCTAGGAATGCAGAGAAATTAGAGAGAAAAAATACAGAAAAGAAGAGGAGAAATTATAGACGAAGATACTAAGGCAGCAAGCCTTCGAACAAATACTTAAATCTGAAAAGAATCCACAAAATGCTAAATGACATTAAAGAGTTGAAGACTTGGAAAACATACAGGACACAGTTTTCTAAACCCCAAATAGATTGACTCTTAAAACTATTGACATTGATTCTTAGGTTAACTGTTTGACTAACTCTTGAGTAACAATAGAAAAAATGAAATAAATGGTCCAACTCCCTTGATTACCATTAACAGTTCTCTTTGGGAAAAGAAGCTTCTAGTCACAAATTTGGGAGAATGAGTTTAGTATTGAGATTCCAAATTTTTTTTTCTTTCTAACTCTGTTGTTGCTACTACATTAGTTATAGTGATATTCGCAAACAGGATATTTCGTTGCTAACCCTGTTGTTGCTACTACATCAGTTATAGTGACATTCGCTAACAGGATATTTCGTTTCTAACCCTGTTGTTGCTACTACATCAGATATAGTGATATTCGCAAGTCTTTTAGACATAATTGTTTATGTTGTGAACTTGCAGAGGCTTTTGGAGAGCACTTTCCAACTTGATCTTGGAGCAACAAGAGAGTAAGATATCATTGATATCATAAAGTACTCATAATGATTATTCGTTCGTCTATATAATAGTAATAAACACTTAAAATTTTGTTTAAAGAACTTCCTTTAGCTCTTGTAGGGGCTTCATACCTCACTATCTTTGTTTCTGTTGTTTAGGGCTTTGTTTTCATGGAATTGAGTTACTGAAATTACACATATGTGGTCCGGCCTCACTGAAGCTTAATCACAATGATTTATAGGGTAAATTTAATGGTAGAGAGACTACACTAGGATGAAGCATAATTTATCCATTGTGACCTGACCCTCATCAAGCCAATATATGAGTCACATCAATTATGAGTTAAAATTCCCATCTACGGCTCCTTTTTTAGTGTTGAAAATTTTTAGCCTGATCTCAGTTGTTCTACAGTCTGATCTGATGGAGCTACCATTTTCTGTATGTCCAATGGAGTCTTGTTGCTAATCTGCTTTGTTGCTGGAATAATAGTTATGTTTAGGGAGATTTGCTGCACTACAATATAAAAGATGAACAATGCAGGGGTTAAAATGTATCAATGGACTGGTAAATACCTTTTAAACATTAATTATCTTTGATTCTTTGTCTTTATTTTTCATCGAGTCTATGTAGAATAAGAAAAAAGTGTGCTCGTGTTACATTTGTATTATACTTTTTGAATTTTTTCTTACTTTTAAAGTTAAGATCTTCTTTGCAGGTTTTGGGATGTTTCTACCTCAGGTGCTTATTTTCTTCCCTTTGACCCCTTTTGGCAGGTACTGTTTAGCAGATGACCGGCTATTAGATGCTGTGAAGTTCCTGGATCTTGCTTTGACCCCTTTTGGCAGGTACTGTTTAGCAGATGACCGGCTATTAGATGCTGTGAAGTTCCTGGATCTTGGAGATGGTGCTGGTTGGGAGTTACTCCAGGTTGGGTTGTATTTTTTCTTTTTTCACAACTATATTTGCTAATCTCAGCATCATTTCAGCATATGATGAGCTAATATAGTCGAAGTTAGCATAAATAGATTATCTTTTTTGGCACTCACTTTAAACACTTAGGGGTCCATTTGATAACCATTTCAATTTTAGTTTTTAGTTTTCATTTTTTGTGTTAGAGTATAGAGGAAAAAGAGGTTGAATGGAAGTGAGAATGAGAGTGGAGATGAGATTGAGATAGAAGATGAGAGGGGAGGATGGTAGGGATGAGTAACAAAGTGAAAACAAAAACTAAAAACTGAAGTCTATTTCAAATTGTTTTCACTTTTGTTACTCCCCTCTCCCATCCTCCCCTCTCATCCTTTCTCTCAATCTCATCCTCACACCAATTCTCACTCTCATTTTCCTCTATACTCTAGCACAAAAAATGAAAACTAAAAACTAAAAACTAAAAACTAAAATTGAAATAGTTATGAAATGGGCCCTTAGTATATTTAGGGTCCTTTTACATATGCAATATGGTATCTTAGCATATCCTGAACAGTCCGAATATACCATGTCGAAGAAAAGGTTACTGTTTTCGAGTCTCATTTTGGTGAGTAGAAGAAGATAGCTCTTTTTAGGCATTGAATTGGTTATACTGTTTTGAGTAAGATACATCTTCCAATTGGAAGAAGCAGGAGGGGCTAGCATAAAGAAGCCTTTAATCATTCAACGGAATGTAAGATATATCTTCCAATTGTCACTTCCATATTGTTTTATTAAAACAATGTTATTTCACTCGGTTGTAGGCAATGCTGAATCCTGACTTCCGAAAACGGCCAATTGCACAGGCTGTACTCAATCATCGCTTCATGACCGTGGGCGTTCTTTGAGATTTTGGATAAAAAGATTTGATTTATAATGTATATTGAAAGGTAAAAGGTACATGGATAATTAGATGAAGGCTTAATTATTGGTATGCCCCATGTGCTTTACCAAAAATCTCAATTTACCCCTTGTACTTGCAATTGGCTCACTTTACCCCCTGTGCTTTATGCTCGTGTCCTCCGTTCCCCTATTCCGTCTAGTTCCTCACTTGATTTATAAATATATATTGAAAGGTAAAGGTACGTGGACAATTAGATGAATTGATATAGAGTTTATAGTTCTTTGAAATAAGAGTAGATATCTTGACTTCATATAGCGCTGTAGCAATCTGTAAATACTTCTGTCCATGATTTAAAGACAACTATTGTTTGCTCGTTGTGATATTTTTCTATACATTAAACCTAGGTAAACGCGTGGGGAGTGACCTAGAGACTCTCCCTTGTTATACTTGGGTAAATGAAAAGTGACACTTTTGTAATAATAGAATCTTGAAGAAAAATAGATTTTTGCGTAGGATGGCAAGAGGACTTAAACCATTGATGCAGCACACTCATATCAGAAAAGGTGTAGTAGGTCAATAAAATGTAGCAGGAAACACAACAAAACAACCGAAACAGACACAGGTGATTGATTTGTAATGATATGAGCTAAAAAACTAACACACGCGTATAAGCAAATTCACCCTTGTCAAGCACGCCAATTAACTACTTTCCTCTATAGTTCCAATCATCATCTGTTGCTTCGTCTTCACTGCTTGAATATTTCCTTTTCTTAGAGGTAGTGGGTGACTCTCAGCAATAACAGGAATCGCCATCAAGAAGACAAAGGCTCCCCCCCCCCCCAACCAAATGGTTGCATCGAAGCGGCGAGGCAGACCACTAGTTTCAACTTGTTTGACACTCCTTTTCTCTATATCATACCATAAATGCCTATCGAAGTCTTCGCAGTCCACCTTCAAAAGAACCCTTGCCATTCTTTGAAACCACTGAAGGCTTGCTTCTATAAGCGCCCAGTGCCAGCTCTTTGGGGGAACTTATTCAAGCAAATATTTCTTCAATACGTAAGAGTTAGGTTAGTCTTGTAAAACTCTTCATGGATTGAACATCTAAGGTTTTTTACCTAGATTGACCTTAGGTCTCTTCATGCATTCATATCACGCATGAAGAATTGTTTTATGTATAAATATTGGCTAAGTATGAAAAATGATTTTTCGGAATAATCATTTCCTCAAGATAATTTTTGGCGGCTTTTATTCCTTACACATCAAATAAGAAAACTTGATTTTATGGGATTTTAGTATGAAGTATATATTGACTTAATGAGTCATCATTTTTAGCCTAAATCATATTTTGCACTAAAACCGATTTTCATATTTTGATTTGGTGGGAATTTGATTTTCTAGTATTTTTATTTGAATCTAAATGGGGGGTACTTCCTTATTTACATTATAAACTTAAGTAAATGGAGTAATATAAAAACAAATAAGGTAGCAACGCAACATCAGCAAATTGACTTGGTTTACGCTTTTCGTCGAACACCTAGAGTGCATCTCCCAAGCTAAGTAGATGTCCAATATGCAGTACCTATAATGGTTTTTCCGACGAGGGGAGGTGTAGATGCAACTCTTTGCGCCTTAATAGGTCCGCTATTGCTGTGTTGGAGATGGGCTTTGGCGAACTATTGATCATGGATTGTGGCATTCCACGCTTTGGACACACATGTACAAGGATGTCGAAGACTAGCTTTGGTAGGAAGTCTGGCATGGCTGAAACTTGCAAGGCCCTTCAAAAGAAGTAGCTGCAAGCTGTTTGTGGTTCAAGTCGTCAAGAGTATTTATAGCTTGTATAAAAAAATATTTATATAAAAATAAAAACAAAAACAAAAAGCCATGAAAAGTGCTTGCGCACCTTTTTTATTGAAAACTTTACTCAGTGGGTCACGGCCAAGTCAAAACATAGCCCAACAACCCATTTAGGCCCAATAAATAACGGGGCGGACACGGGTCAAAATTATTTTACCTGCCCTAAAATTAAAATACGATCCAAAATCAAGCAAGCAAAATACCAGCGAGAGAGAGGGAGAGAGAGAGAGAGATGCAGAAGAGGGAGCAGAGCAAGTCGGGTGGAGTGGGTGGCGGGGCCTCGGCGCCGCCGGCGAAAAGAGGCCGCCCATTCGGAAGCGGCGGGAATAGCGCCGCAGCTGCGGCTGCC